GATAGTGGTTCAGGTTGATGACGATGACGATAGTTCAAGCACGTCTCACATCCACTTACCATGACATCTACGTCATGATTCATTCGAGGCCAGAATAGAACTTCTCTAGCTCTTTGCTTGCATTTTTCTTGACCCAGATGTCCTGCATGTATTTTCTGCAACATCAGTTTCCGCATACCTTTGGGCACGACGATGCGGTTGCCTTTGAAGACTACTCCGTCAATACATGAAAGTTCATCTCGATAATTCCAGAAATCATCCAGGTTTCTTGGGCACTGTGAATGTTCATGAGGCCAACCTGTCAAGATGATTGCTTTTAGAGCTGTCATTTCTGGATCTATGATGCTTTCTGCTCTGATCTGTGCGAATCTGTCGGTTGACACCTGCACTGTTGACAAGATACTGTCAACATACATTTGTACATCTGCTTCTGTTGTACTGGTGGGTGAATGATCACTAGGAAAGTTCCTTGACAGGGTATCTGCTGCATACATCTCTCGACCAGGAGTGTACATTACCTCCATGTCATATTTCTGCATGCGAAGACGGAAACGTTGAATGCGTGGAGGACAGTCATTCAGAGCTTTCTTGAAGATGGGAATCAGTGGTTTATGGTCAGTTTCTGCAAGAAACTTTCTCCCATACACATATTGATGGAACCGTTCAGCTCCAAAACACATTGCTAGTGCTTCCTTCTCGATCTGTGCGTAGTGAGTCTCTGCAGTGGTCATCGCCCTTGACGCATATGCTACTGGCATCCATGCATCTTCATGTTGTTGCAGCAGTATGGCACCAAGTCCATGTTTTGATGCATCTGTAGACACTTTGATGGGTTTCTTGGTATCATAGAATTGAAGAACCGGTCTTTGTGAGATGAGGTTTCGAAGTTCTTCCCATGATTTGTCCTGTTCATGAGACCAAGACCAATGACTGTCTTTTTCCAACAGCTGCCTAAGTGGTGCTGATTTTGTTGAGAGGTCTTGAATGTACCTTCCAAGGTAATTAACCATCCCAAGGAACCGTTGCAGTTCCTTCTTTTCTGTGGGTTTCTGAAGATCCATGATGGCTTTCACCTTGTTAGGGTCTGGTTTGAGTCCATCAACAGAAATTCTATCTCCCAGGAAGGTAAGCTCTGTGACACCCACTTCACATTTCTCTCTATTCAATTTCAGACCACTGTCTCTACACTTCTGAAGTACTGCTTTCAGTCGCTCGTTGTGCTCTCTGGTGTCTTTACCAAAGATGATCATGTCATCCATACTGGTGTCTACACCTCTAATGTGCTCAAAAAGTTGATGTATGGTTCGATGATACACTTCTGGCGCACTTGAAATACCAAATGGGAGTCTGAGATAACGGTATCTCCCAAATGGTGTGTTGAATGCTGTCAGCATTGAGCTGGCATGATCTAGCTTCATTTGCCAAAAGCCTGAGGAGGCGTCCAGCTTGCTAAACACTTTAGCACCAGCAAACTGCGACATCACTTCTTCACGAGTTGGGAGTTTATAGTGTTCTCTCTGCACTGCTAGATTCAAATTGCGAGGATCTAGGCATATTCTCAATTTCCCTTGTTTCTTGTGCACAATCACCATCGAACTAACCCATTCAGTAGGTTCTGTAACCTCTGTGATCACTCCAAGTGATTTCATTCTGTTCAACTCTTCTTTAAGTTGATCATGGAGAGCAAATGGCACTTTTCTACAAGCTTCTATGACTGGTGTGACTCCTTTGTCCACTTTTATGGTATGTTCACCAGGCAAGCATCCAAGCCCTGTGAATACATCTTGATATTCACTTAGAATATCTTCTGGCTTTGTAGAATTCTGGCTGTTCAAATTTTTCTCATCAACATTGATTTCGTAAACTCTACGAACCAAGTTCAGTCTCTCACAATCCTCCACACCAAGGATACATCTATTGTTGTCTGGCGTTACCATGAATACAGTCTTGTATGGTTTACCTTTGTAGGTGACTGTGAGCTCTGCCTGTCCTTCAACAGGTATGTCAATTCCACCATAAGCTTTTAGGCTCATCTTAGGAGGTTCTAATGGTGGCTGGTATTTTAGTTTATTCCACTGTGACAAGCTGATGAGGTTCATGTCTGAGCCGCTGTCAAGTTTGAGGGGTACCTGTGTTCCATTTATGTCAAGTGACATCATCCAAGCCTTTGAGTTAGAGACCCTCTGACTGTCTGTATCCACAACATCAACGAAGAATTCTGCATCTTCTGGTGGATAATCACATGCTTCTGCATCAATATCATAGACACGTCGGGATCGACCTGAATGAGATCTACATTGTGTAGCAAAATGTCCGAGAAGACCACATTTCAAACACTTTTGACCAGATGCTGGACATTTCTGTTTTGGGTTATGATTTCTTCCACACCGTCCACAAAGCTCTTGTTTTACTGTTTCTTGTTTACTTGTTTGCTTGTAGTTCATTTTCTGTTTGGATTTTATGTAATGAACTGCACAATCTTCACTTACTTCTTTAGCTTGACAACTTGCCATTTCTGCAGCACGACATGTGTCTATTGCTTTTAAAAGAGTTAATCTATCATCACGCAGTAATTTCTCTCGATAAGCACTGTTGTACACGCCACACACTATTCTGTCTCTAACCAAACTGTCTTTGAGTTGTCCAAATTCACAAGATTTAGCTTTTTGTTGCAATTCACTAACATACTGATCTATTGTCTGGTCTGACTTTTGTGAACATGTAAAAAATTTGTATCTCTCAAATGTCACATTATTTCTGGGAACACAGTATTGCTCAAATTTTTCTAAGATTTTTTCAACTTTCTGTTTATCTTCCTCTTCAGCCCATTCAAAAGAATTAAATACTTCTCTGGCATTTTCTCCAATGCAATGCAGCAATAAAGATGACTTGTAGACATCAGGTTTGTTTTTACCATCAACAGTAATGGTGTAGTAGCATTCCCATGCTTGCTTGAAACGGCGCCAGTTTTCACTCACATTTCCAGCAAGTTCCAAAGGTTTGGGAGGCTCCAAGTTATTCATTTTTGTTGTCAGTAACTTCTTTGATGGGTAGACTTACTTCTGACACCATGTAGTGGTTTGTAACAATAAGTGAAGAAAGGTACTTCGTGTTAAAAAGCCTTTTATTCAGACCATGTGGTCAGCATGGTGGCCATCTTGTTACAACTCAAGGGAGAGCACTCTCGTTGGCTTAGCTGCTAGATACTGCTTGGGTATGACTACTTAATATAGATTAATGGACTTCTGTTGACATTAACACTTATCATTACAATGACTACCATCAGGAAGAATGAGCCACCACTCCAGCGGGTTGGGAAAACTTCCCCAAACCATCAGTCAGAGTACACGTGGCGGGGAGGAGGACACAGCCGCTACTGACTGTCCTGCAGTATTGTTTGGAACAAAACCTATTGACTTGGCAATGTCTACAGACTCATACAAGCTACACTTCCATCAACAACCAAATCTAGTCTCAGGATAGCGGAAGGTCCCACGTTAAGAACAATCTCATTGGCAATTTGGATGGTATTGGACTCTACATATGCGCATGATCATAGATCTGCATGTTCTGAACAAAGAATATCTGTTACATCAACCAAACTTCTGATGGGAAAAAGCATGCAATCTTCACACTTTACTCAGGACTGAGTATTGGATGATCAGCGTTGATTGCAAGCAAGTACCAACTATGTACAAACATCTTGGCAGACAGCTATATCTCATCAGGGAAGGATAGTGGCTACAGTGGTGTCTCATCAGGGTAGAATAATGGCTACAGTGGTGTCTCATCAGGGAAGAATAATGGCTACAGTGGTGTCTCATCAGGGTAGAATAATGGCTACAGTGGTGTCTCATCAGGGAAGAATAATGGCTACAGTGGTGTCTCATCAGGGAAGAATAATGGCTACAGTGGTGTCTCATCAGGGAAGAATAATGGCTACAGTGGTGTCTCATCAGGGAAGAATAATGGCTACAGTGGTGTCTCATCAGGGAAGAATAATGGCTACAGTGGTGTCTCATCAGGGAAGAATAATGGCTACAGTGGTGTCTCATCAGGGAAGAATAATGGCTACAGTGGTCTCTATCCAGAGATATATTGATGGATAACATCAATGTAAGATGTACCACCTTCAAACTCGTTTGCGCCATGCCTCATCAAGCTTCCAGTGTATGTCATCAAGTGGATGTATAGTCCATGGATTGGACAGGGTTCTTAGCATGTGCCTCTCACCCTTGGTCTCTCCTAGACAGTTTTCTTCTGAAGATCAAGAAATGAACTGCACGATCATTCTCATAGTAGTGCTTGATCATGCAGGCCATCCGCCATCTAGGACAACAGATGTTACAAGTTCTGCTAGTGGTGGAGAAGATGAGAGTAGGATGTGGGCCTATGACTGTACCCATAGTTGCCAGGATGCTGAGTTCCTCCATATGAGATTACTGGGTGGGAGTACACCTGATGTAACTACCAGAGGAAGCATTCTTTGCATTGTCAGCAACGATAGCTATTGTTGGACATTTCTTACTATGACAGGATGACCAAAAACAACAATCTCCACCTTCTATCAACACACAAATTTGGCAACTTCCTTGTTCTGTATTGTCACTGCTCATGAAAGCAGGGCTTCATCTACCAGTTTGACCATATGAGTAGAACAGATTGTATCCAGTTGTCAGTGGCGCACCCACAACAAATACTGCCACTACTAGTTACATCTCCTCGCCATTAATCTGCATTCAGGTTGCTGATGTTGGAAAGAAGTGAGGACTTATTGGCTGCACATGCACAGAAGGAAGGAAGACACTGTTGGTATCTTCTGTGGTTATGGATAGTTGGACTTATAAATGTTGAAAATCTGACGATTTTTATGCTGTGGTGACAGCTGAAATGCAGGATTTCTGGCAATGATGTAGTAGAGGTAGTATTCTTTGTTAACAGAAAGCTCCTGGGGTGTCCTGGGGGACATATATGTATATTCCAGAATTGTATGTTTACAGAAAGCCCTTGGTGGTTATGGCAAGGCTCTGTCCAAACAGCAGCTGCAGAGAGTCGTGGACAGCAGACACACCAGCAGCCCCCTCTACCTCAACATCCTCGTCGCGGTCAGATTTCACATTGCCTCTATATTACAGAACCTGGAATAATAACATTTTACCCTGTGGAATTAAGTAGATAACTGGGAAGACAGTACTTAACACATTAATACAGATGAATGACAAATCAATATCTTTGATTCTCTGATCAAATGTCCATTCTGTTAATCCTGTGATCCCTGTCTTAGTACACTAAACAAATGTGGGAAATTTCATGATCTTGATGAACAAAAGTGATGACATTTATCTGACTTCAGCCACAATATTGACAGCTGCTTAGAACCACTGTGGTTTGACTCACTTAGAGCCCCATGTTTTTGGTTGCTCAATTAGTACTGGTGTACATCAGAGGGTCCAACATGTTACCGGCTGCTTAGAGCCGCTGTGTTTTCCATCAGGGGGTTCGACTGGGCACCAACATGTTACCGGCTGCTTAGAGCCACTGTGTTTTCCACCAGGGGGTTTGACTGGGCGCCAACATGTTACTGGCTGCTTAGAGCCGCTGTGTTTTCCATCAGAGGGTTCGACTGGGCACCAACATGTTACTGGCTGCTTAGAGCCGCTGTGTTTTCCATCAGAGGGTTTGACTGGGCACCAACATGTTACTGGCTGCTTAGAGCCGCTGTGTTTTCCATCAGGGGGTTGGACTGGGCACCAACATGTTACTGGCTGCTTAGAGCCGCTGTGTTTTCCATCAGGGGGTTGGACTGGGCACCAACATGTTACTGGCTGCTTAGAGCCGCTGTGTTTTCCATCAGGGGGTTGGACTGGGCACCAACATGTTACTGGCTGCTTAGAGCCGCTGTGTTTTCCATCAGGGGGTTGGACTGGGCACCAACATGTTACTGGCTGTGGTTTGACCCACATGATGTAAATACTATGCATGGGGCAGGCTCCCAACTTATTAATGGTATTTGTTGTTCAGGAGCTGGAGAAGTTCGGCTCCTTCCGCCAGCTGGATGACAAGCTCAACTCTCTCCTCAAGTCTGACAGGTCTGTATCATGTTTGTGTGAGTATTAATATAAATAGTATCATGTTTGTGTGAGTAATAATATCAATAGTATCATGTTTGTGTGAGTAATAATATCAATAGTATCATGTTTGTGTGAGTATTAATATAAATAGTATCATGTTTGTGTGAGTATTATTGTAAATAGTATCATGTTTGTGTGAGTATTAATATCAATAGTATCATGTTTGTGTGAGTATTATTGTAAATAGTATCATGTTTGTGTGAGTATTAATATCAATAGTATCATGTTTGTGTGAGTATTATTGTAAATACTATCATGTTTATGTGAGTATTATTGTAAATAGTATCATGTTTGTGTGAGTATTAATATCAATAGTATCATGTTTGTGTGAGTATTATTGTAAATAGTATCATGTTTGTGTGAGTATTAATATCAATAGTATCATGTTTGTGTGAGTATTATTGTAAATAGTATCATGTTTGTGTGAGTATTAATATCAATAGTATCATGTTTGTGTGAGTATAATTGTAAATAGTATCATGTTTGTGTGAGTATTAATATCAATAGTATCATGTTTGTGTGAGTATTATTGTAAATAGTATCATGTTTGTGTGAGAATTATTGTAAATAGTATCATGTTTGTGTGAGTATTAATATCAATAGTATCATGTTTGTGTGAGTATTAATATCAATAGTATCATGTTTGTGTGAGTATTATTGTAAATAGTATCGTGTTTGTGTGAGTAATGATACAAATAGTATCATGTTTGTGTGAGTAATAATATTAATAGTATCATGTTTGTATGAGTATTAATATCAATAGTATCATGTTTGTGTGAGTATTAATATCAATAGTATCATGTTTGTGTGAGTAATGATATAAATAGTATCATGTTTGTGTGAGCAATAATGTAAATAGTATCATGATTGTGTGAGTATTAATATCAATAGTATCATGTTTGTGTGAGTATTATTATCAATAGTATCATGTTTGTGTGAGCAATAATGTATATAGTATCAGCTGCATGTTTGTGTGAGTATTAATATCAATAGTATCATGTTTGTGTGAGTATTATTGTAAATAGTATCATGTTTGTGTAAGTATTAATATCAATAGTATCATGTTTGTGTGAGTATTATTGTAAATAGTATCATGTTTGTGTGAGCAATGATATAAATAGTATCATGTTTGTGTTAGTAATAATGTCAATAGAATCATGTTTGTATGAGTATTAATATAAAAAGTATCCTGTTTTTGTGAGTAATAATATAAATAGTATCATGTTTGTGTGAGTAAAAATGTAAATAGTATCATGTTTGTGTGAGTAATAATATACGTAGTATCATGTTTTTGTGAGTAATAATATTAATAGTATCATGTTTGTGTGAGTAATAATATAGATAGTATCATGTTTGCGTAAGTATTATTATCAATAGTATCATGTTTGTGCGAGTAATAATATTAATAGTATCATGTTTGTGTGAGCAATAATGTAAATAGTATCATGTTTGTGTGAGTATTAATATCAAAAGTATCATGTTTGTGTGAGTAGTAATATCAATAGTATCATCTTTGTGTGATACATATTTTAAATAGTATCATGTTTTTAAGAGTAATAATATAAATAGTATCATGTTTGTGTGAGTATTATTATCAATAGTATCATGTTTGTGTGAGTATTAATGTACATAGTATCATGTTTGTGTGAGTAATAATATAAATAGTTTCATGTTTGTAAGAGTATTAATATCAATAGTATCATGTTTGTGTGAGTAATAATGTCAATGGAATCATGTTTGTGTGAGTAATAATGTAAATAGTATCATGTTTGTGAGTAATGATATAAAAAGTATCATGTGTGTGTGTGAGTATCAATATAAATGGTATCATGTTTGTGTGAGTATTAATATCAGTAGTATCATGCTTGTGTGTGAGTAATAATATAAATAGTATCATGTTTGTTTGAGTATTCATATAAATAGTATCATGTTTGTGTGGGTTTTAATGTTTATAAAAGCATCATGATGAGCATGTGACTTTTGCAATTGTAGAAGATGTTACAAGACTAATTGTGTTGCTCAGAAGCATTTTTCCAGATATGCTAAAACACATGTTTGTCACAAGAAATTGGGTGATTTTGTATAAAAGCCATTAAAATGACAAAATCTATGTATAAAGAATCAGTTTTTTGTGTTCATCATGGTTCTAAAGTACTGCATAAGTTACTGATTGTTGTGTTTTATTACAGCATTGAAGAACTGTGTGCCTTACTCCTAGAGAGGTTAGAAAGTGACTACAACACTACAGAGTACCCACGTGTTGTACAGATGGTAAGTGGTGTCATCATGTTGTACAGTGTGCAGTGATGTTGTACAGTGTGCAGTGATGTTGTACAGTGTGCAGGGATGTTGTACAGTGTGCAGTGATGTTGTACAGTGTGCAGTGATGTACAGTGTGGTGTGATGGTGTACAGTGTGGTGTGATAATGTACAGTGTGGTGTGATGTTGTACAGTGTGCAGTGATGTACAGTGTGCAGTGATGTTGTACAGTGTGCAGTGATGTTGTACAGTGTGGTGTGATGGTGTACAGTGTGGTGTGATAATGTACAGTGTGGTGTGATGTACAGTGTGGTGTGATGTAGTACAGTGTGCAGTGATGTTGTACAGTGTGCAGTGATGTTGTACAGTGTACAGTGATGTTGTACAGTGTGAAGTGATGTTGTATAGAGTGTTGTGATGTTGAGCAGAGTGATGCGATGTTGTAGTCGATGTTGTACAGTGTGTTGTGTTGTTGTATAGAGGGTGTTGTGTTGTTGTATAGAGGGTGTTGTACAGTATGTTGTGTTTTACAGTGTTGTGTGATGTTGTATAGTGTGCAATGATGTTGTACAGTGTGGTTTGTTATTGTACAGTGTGGTGTGATGTTGTACAGTGTGCAATGATGTTGTACAGTGTGGTTTGATGTTGTACAGTGTGGTGTGATGTTGTACAGTGTGCAGTGATGTTGTACAGTGTGCAGTGATGTTGTACAGTGTGGTTTGATATTGTACAGTGTGGTGTGATGTTGTACAGATAGTTATGATGTTGTATAGAGTTTTGTGATGTTGTATATAGGGTGTTGTACAGTATGTTGTGTTGTAAAGTGTGCAGTGATGTTGTACAGTGTACAGTGATGTTGTACAGTGTGAAGTGATGTTGTACAGAGTGTTGTGATGTTGAGCAGAGTGATGCGATGTTGTAGTCGATGTTGTACAGTGTGTTGTGTTGTTGTATAGAGGGTGTTGTGTTGTTGTATAGAGGGTGTTGTACAGTATGTTGTGATGTACAGTGTGGTGTGATGTTGTACAGTGTGGTGTGATGTTGTACAGTGTGCAGTGATTTGTACAGTGTGGTGTGATGTTGTACAGAGTGTTGTGATGTACAGAGTTTTGTGATGTTGTATAGAGGGTGTTGTACAGTATGTTGTGATGTACAGTGTGGTGTGATGTTGTACAGTGTGGTGTGATGTTGTACAGTGTGCAGTGATTTGTACAGTGTGGTGTGATGTTGTACAGAGTGTTGTGATGTACAGAGTTTTGTGATGTTGTATAGAGGGTGTTGTACAGTATGTTGTGTTGTAAAGTGTGCAGTGATGTTGTACAGTGTGGTGTGATGTTGTACAGTGTGCAGTGATGTTGTACAGAGTGTTGTAATGTTGACCAGAGTGTTGTGTTGTTGTAGTGGATTTTGTACAGTGTGTTGTGTTGTTGTATAGAGGGGGTTGTGATGTTGTATAGAGGGTGTTGTACAGTATGTTGTGTTGTACAGTGTGCAGTGATGTTGTACAGTGTGCAGGGATGTTGTACAGAGAGTTGTGATGTTGAACAGAGTGTGGTGATGTTGTAGTGGATGTTGTACAGTGTGTTGTGTTGTTGTATAGAGGGTGTTGTGCTGTTGCAGGTGTTTCAGCTGCTTCAAGTTGCACATGAGGGCCTGTCTGAGAGTGAGATCACAGAGATATTGGACATTCCTATCACTATCTGGCTGCCGCTGTATTGTGCACTGGAACAGTTTATAGTTTTAAGATCAGGCTTGCTCAGGTAATTGTCAAAGATTTACAAGTTTAATAGGTTTCAAGTGGTGAAGATGATATTTTCAAAGCTGTTTTTGTGTGAGTGACCACTCCTATGCCATCGCTCTGGTGTTTCCATGCTAAGACTGCTGTAACCCTGAGGCTATGACCATCGCTCTGGTGTTTCCATACTAAGACTCCTGCGACCCTGAGGCTATGACCATTGCTCTGGTGTTTCCATACTAAGACTGCTGCAACCCTGATGCTATGACCATTGCTCTGGTGTTTCCATGCTAAGACTGCTGCAACCCTGAGGCTATGACCATCGCTCTGGTGTTTCCATGCTAAGACTGCTGCAACCCTGAGGCTATGACTATCGCTCTGGTGTTTCCATACTAAGACTCCTGCGACCCTGAGGCTATGACCATTGCTCTGGTGTTTCCATGCTAAGACTGCTGCAACCCTGATGCTATGACCATCGCTCTGGTGTTTCCATGCTAAGACTGCTGCAACCCTGATGCTATGACCATTGCTCTGGTGTTTCCATGCTAAGACTGCTGCAACCCTGATGCTATGACCATTGCTCTGGTGTTTCCATGCTAAGACTCCTGCGACCCTGAGGCTATGACCATTGCTCTGGTGTTTCCATGCTAAGACTGCTGCAACCCTGATGCTATGACCATCGCTCTGGTGTTTCCATGCTAAGACTGCTGCAACCCTGATGCTATGACCATCGCTCTGGTGTTTCCATACTAAGACTGCTGCAACCCTGATGCTATGACCATTGCTCTGGTGTTTCCATGCTAAGACTGCCGCAACCCTGAGGCCATGACCATCGCTCTGGTGTTTCCATGCTAAGACCACTGCAACCCTGATGCTATGACCATCGCTCTGTTGTTTACATGCTAAGACTGCTGCAACCCTGAGGCTATGACCATCGCTCCGGTGTTTCCATGCTAAGGCTGCTGTAGCCCGGAGGCTATGACCATTGCTCTACGCCAATATATAAAAAACCTGACTCTCCAATTCACACGAGTTTACTCAGATGAGAGACAAAAATACCAAACAGGGATTACAGTAGAAACGAAATGCGAAATACGCGAAAAGAATACAAACGAAATGGGATTCAAATACGATAAAGAAAAAATAGAAAATAAACATAGTGGCGCGACCACTTTCTCCTCTTTCTTTAATGTCAATGTTGATCACTGGAAGTGTCTTATTGCATCAGCCACTCTCCAGAACTTTGCCAGGCTGGTGGGTGTCGTGTTCTTGTGGATTGTCTGAGCGGCTGCACTGGAACCTGTCTTGGGTTGTTCTGAATCTCATGTTGAACGATGACTTTGTCCTCATCACTATCCTCATCAGTGCTGTGAGGATTGTCCTTTTCAGTTAAGCCTCTTATTGGCTCATTAGTTACCACAGATTCTGTTGACGGTTTGATCGGGTAACAGCAGACAATGGGAACATCGTAAGTTTGTGATCGGAATTGAGTCTTTGTGAACTTACGAAGTTGGCATTTGTCTTTTGTAATGTTGACAACCATTGGTTGTCTCTGGCATTTGTTTTCTCCTTCTCCCCCTTTATATATACGAGATCGCCAATTTGTATGTCTGATCGATCAAACAGAGTTTTGCCATGAGCCTTTGACTTACTGCTATATGGATGGTTGTTAAGGCGGGTAAGATGCTGTTTCATGATGATGTCACGATCATCCATTGGTAGCTGTGCTCCAGTTATTTGGTCCTGCTGAGTGAATTCTTCCTCGGGCGGACATTCCACTCTTCCTCAGTCTGCTGTTGAGATTAGCTGTTGCAAGTGCGATAGTGGATCGAGACAAAGGACCTCCCTCTGGTGAGAGGTTTAAGCCCTCTAAGCCAAGTTCAGAGATTGCCTTTTCTGCTACAGGATTCTTGTTGGGGTTTTTGCAGGAGCCAATATCAGAACAGGATCTTTGACCAGAGCCTGAAACCCAGGTGCTGGATCAACTCGTATGATGACTCCACTTTCACCGAGATTGCGAATATCTGCACAGAGACACAGAAGGGCGTCACGTAGTTGGTCATGTCGATCATTTTCTACAAAACATGTGAGAGTGAACGAGGATACTGTTTCTCGTAAGACACAGATAAGTTGGCCATATCTTTTTATGATATCAGCTGCGAAGGATGACCCAATGGATTGAGGTGGATGGTTGAGGTTTGTGGAAACAACTGTGCTGGAATGGTTTTGAGGGACATACAATGATGGCAGGAGGAAGATACTTCTTGTAAGGCTTTGTCGAGGTCCAAGGCATGAAAGTATCTACGAAAAAGCTGTTTTGTTTGGTAGATGCTTGGGTGGCTGAAGCGGATGTGGATAGCAGTCGGCAGACCATGAAGAACAGTTCTTGGGACAACCAGACGTTCTCGTACTTTGTTGAAAGGCAAAGTGTCACACACCACCAAAAGGCCATCTGAAGCAATGCACACTTCATTGAGATATTTGTAGCCTTTTTACTGGGTCTCGTGCCTTGAGTTAAGTGAGAATGTGTTCGACGTAAATCTGGACACTCATGTTGTGTGACATGCCAGGCAGTTCTGCTTGTAAAAGGCATGCGTATTCCTCCTTCAATTACGTCCTTGACTGTTAAATCTCGAATGACATAGTCTGAAAATTTGTTCCATACTTACATACCTGACATCGTTGATCATTGCATTCCATGGGATTTCTGCTACTGTAGTCATAGGGGATGTTAGTAGCTCCAGCGATGTGTTTAATCAGTACATTGTAGCGACTGATGGTCGACAGGAATGTGGTCACTCGTGAACTGTTTGAGAACTCTCCCCGTTGAAGTTTCTCGTGTGCTTGAACACAGGGCCGACTATCAGTGAGGATTTGATTTTTCTGAGAGGAGGTCATGATGTATGGGGCAAAGTGTTTCACTGAAGCTCCTATTGCTAATGCTTCAACTTCACAGGGTAGCCATGTTACCTGATAATGTTTCAGTTTTGCATTTTAAAATCCAGCCAGCATGTTATTATCCTGGTTGCTGCAGTGTTATTATCCTGGTGGCTGAAGTGTTATTTATCCTGGTTGCTGCAGTGTTATTATCCTGGTGGCTGAAGTGTTATTTATCCTGGTGGCTGCAGTGTTATCCTGGTATCTGTAGTGTTATTATCCTGGTGGCTGCAGTGTTATTATCCTGGTGGCTGAAGTGTTATTTATCCTGGTGGCTGCAGTGTTATCCTGGTATCTGAAGTGTTATTATCCTGGTGGCTGAAGTGTTATTATCCTGGTGGCTGCAGTGTTATCCTGGTGGCTGAAGTGTTATTATCCTGGTGGCTGAAGTGTTATTATCCTGGTGGCTGCAGTGTTATCCTGGTGGCTGAAGTGTTATTATCCTGGTTGGTGAAGTGTTATTATCCTGGTTGGTGAAGTGATATTATCCTGGTGGCTGCAGTGTTATCCTGGTGGCTGAAGTGTTATTATCCTGGTGGCTGAAGTGTTATTATCCTGGTTGGTGAAGTGTTATTATCCTGGTTGGTGAAGTGATATTATCCTGGTGGCTGAAGTGTTATTATCCTGGTGGCTGAAGTGTTATTATCCTGGTTGGTGAAGTGTTATTATCCTGGTTGGTGAAGTGTTATTATCCTGGTGGCTGCATTGTTATTATCCTGGTTGCTGAAGTGTTATTATCCTGGTGGCTAAAGTGTTATTATCCTGGTGGCTGCAGTGTTATTATCCTGGTGGCTGAAGTGTTATTATCCTGGTGGGTGAAGTGTTATTATCCTGGTGGGTGAAGTGTTATTATTCAGGTGCCTGCAGTGTTATTATCCTGGTGGCTACAGTATCCATAGTATACAGTATTGGTTCTTATCCAATATGGATATTATCGTTTCCCAATAGACACTGTTTTGGTAATTCTGCATTATAGTTTGTTTGCCGTGACTGTATTTTAGACCACGTTTCCTAGACATCTTTTCAAAAGGGACTTTTGATTTTAGGTAAGACATTTTTTCTTAATTATATATAAGTATTTCGATCCCATTTCTGTTGGATGCAAGTTGATTGATGGGATTGTAAGTTCAGTCAGTTTGCTTAGCTTTTTTTTCATATCCAACTTCGTATCTACGGTTCTTCGTATCCAACTTATCTTTTGAGCATGAGGGACGGTCTGGTAGCCTAGTGGTCAAAGCGTTTGCTTGTCACGCCGAAGACCCGGGTTTGATTCCCGACATGGGTACAATGTGTGAAGCCCATTTCAGGTGTCCCCCGCCGTGATATTGCTGGAATATTGCTAAAAGCGGCGTAAAACCATAGTCACTCACTTACTTTGAGCATGTGTTGTGTCTAATACAAGTCGTATCTTCATTCTTCCATTTCTATATGTTTAAATAATAGTGGGGTTTGTTTTATCTGATCAGGTTGGGCCTTCCAAATGAATTTAAAAGATTGGTTTTGTAAGATTAGTAATAGAGTCCATTCTGGGATTAGGAAGTGTTGAAAAAAAAGGATTTAGAGATGGTAAAATTAGACTTTTGAGGACATGTTGCAGGTTCCTCTCCCATCAACCATGACCTACATGTTGCAGGTTCTCCTTCCCATCAACTACGACACACATGTGTCAGGTTCTCCTTCCCATCAACTATGACACACTTGTTGCAGGTTCTCCTTCCCATGAACTATGACATACATGTTGCAGGTTCTCCTTCCCATCAACTATGACATACATGTTGCAGGTTCTCCTTCCAATCAACTACGACACACATGTGTCAGGTTCTCCTTCCCATCAACTATGACATACATGTTGGGGGTTCCCCTTCCCATCAACTATGACATACATGACACACATGTTGCAGGTTCTACTTCGCATCAACTATGACACACATGTTGCGGGTTCCCCTTCCAATCAACTATGACACACATGTTGCAGGTTCTCCTTCCCATCAACTATGACACACATGTGTCAGGTTCTCCTTCCCATCAACTATGACACACATGTGTCAGGTTCTCCTTCCCATCAACTATGACACACATGTGGCAGGT